CATCCCCTGCTCAAATCTATAGGAACTATATAATGTTTATAATTCATTGCATTTACTTTTTAGAAGCAAATAGTTACATCTTTTGTTTTTTTTTAAGGTTAATTTTTTAAAGTATATCAAAGTGATGGGTTGATGGTTTAATGAAGTAAATAGAAATAAATGTGTTACATCTGTTTATCAGGATTTGAGGTTTTCCAGATAAGCGATTTTTTTTCTTAATTAATGTTGCCAAGATTTTAGTAAAGATACAGTCTTTAGTTGCCGAGATTTTAGTAAAGATAGTCGTATATGACCATAAAGATATGACTGTATCTTTACTAAAGGTTCAAGGAACATGTGCACCATGACTTAACTTTCATTTCTGTCCCGTGTGTCATTATAATGACTTAATACATTATAATGAGCTGCTGCAGCTGTGCCTATCACTGTTCCTCCTCAATTCCACATTTGTGGGTTTTTAATCCCTTTGATCTGATCTAAAAGATTATTGTAACTGTGCCTAAAACAGGATCGCATGCCTACAGTGAGGGTTTTATGAACCACAGTCCAGTGACATTTGTTCAGCTACTCAGAGAGTCTCCAGTCCTTGCTTACCCTTCTCTCCCACATGCCTGCCTTCTGGGTCATTCCTACTAGAGATCGTTATAGGTGGTTTATTTTCGTGTGGTATTGTTGAACTTTATCCAATAAGTACATTTTGAGTATGACACACACTTTTGCAATAAAATGGGGGTCAAAATCAACCATTTGTATTTTTATGAAAAGCATATGTATTTTGTTTTTTTGCCATCTGTATAGTTTTCAGAAAAGGGGCATATACTTTTTCAACTTGAATACCTTATTATTACTTTACCATGGTTAAAACTTCAAGTGAATTGTTCTAACTGATTTCATATGGGTTTGTCTCGGTTAAATGTTGCATTTCAACATATTTTTGGTTGGATTAATAAAGAATTTTAATTAATGAAATGATCTTTGTCATCTAAAGCAGCCAGAATCAGTTAATATAGTTGAATAATATTACAATATACCTTTTGCACTATTGCCTCTAACAGGTTTGACCCATTTTTTTTCTGTTAATGATAAATTAATTTATATTTAAACATACAGATTTTTCTTTACAGGGGCTAAATGTTGGTTTTCTGAGTATTAGCTATTGTTTTTTTAAAACTTAATCATGGTTTTAGTATCTCCACCTCCCTTGCTCAGCTGGCCTCAAATTCACAATAACCTGTGTCACCTCCCCAATAGGTCTGGCTCACCTATCTGCATCTGCCCCCTTCCCCCCCCCCCCCCCCCCCCCCCCCCCCCCGTTTTGAAAGATCTTACTCTGTAGCCTTGGCTGTCCTGGAACTTGCTGTATAGCCCAGAATGGACTCAACCAATAGAGTTCTGCCTGCTTCTATCTCCTGAGTGCTGAGATTAAAGATGTGCACCACACACTAGCCTTCTTCCTCTTTTTGTGCAGTGGAAATAGTTATCTGAATTTTAAGAAAACGTTACATGATAGTGGGGCAGAAGCCAGCTTTTTACTTTTTAGAGAAATAAATTATTTCGAACATAGTATGTCTTTATTTACATACTAGCTAAATAATATACTTTAAGACTTATATTTCCACTATTTCCGAAATCGCCTTTAAATTCACTTTAGACAGTGTTCTTTCCTGGTGTGTCTTTTGTATGCAGGTATTTAATTATTGCATATAGGACAAAAAGTTCTTTCTTTTCTTTCTTTCTTTCTTTCTTT